GGAGGAACTCTCTGTAGTTCCATTGTCATGAACAAATCACTACCTGGTGAAGTTTAGGTTTAACCTCTGCAGGGGTGGACGACCAATTTAGATGAATTCTGATGATTCTCGGGGTGCTTACTGTTGTCTTGGCAGGCGATCCTGTCAAAGACTTGGCTGACCTCTGGAATGGGGAAATGGCCAGGACTGTTGAAACTATAATGCCTATGCATTTTGTCTCATGGAGTACAGCCAGGCAACACACACACACCCCGAGTTGCCAGGGAGCTGGTGGGGATGAAATGAGAGAGATGGAGTCTAGAGCAATAATGGTGGAAAACGTAAGATGAATCCAACCAAACATGGGCTAGAGCTCGTTTGAGTGCCTATTTTTTTTGCTGCTGTCATTGTGTCTGCATAGAGTCATCCAGCAGAGTTGTTTATACCAGTGGTTCTTAACCTTTGTTACTCGGATGCTTTTGAACTGCAACTCCCAGAAACCCCAGTCAGGACAGCTGGTGGTAAAAGCTTCTGGGAGTTGCAGTCCAAAACTCCTGAGTAACCCAAGGTTAAGAACCAGTGGTTTATACCATCATTGTTTTATCCACATAAGTGGTGACAAGTCTGAAGGGGAGAGCAAGCAAGTGAGCAACAACCCTAGAAAATGTAGGCTAAATAATTGAACCTCGAAAGCGTACCCAAAGGGGACCTGGATGGCAACAGACACATGTTTTATGACCTCAGGAACTTGTCAATCAATAGTAATCTCTTTACAGTTATTCAGGATGCTGCACAAGGAACTCTCTTTCCAGTTTTCCTCAGATACCTACTGGAGAGCCGATGTCCAACACTCATTCTTCTTCTTTCAGGTGATATAGATGTGTGACCCTCCAGTATGGGATTTTCATTTGGAAATAAGGGAAACCTAGAAGAAAGGCATGGCTTTCTCTATATCACGTACATGTCAACCCAGGAATGCTATTTAATGTATAGACTAAGGGCACAGGCTTTGTGAGAATGGATAGAAGCTGGTAATGAAGTGAGGCGGCTGGTCGGTGTGGCCTGCAGGGACAAGAAGCATGACATGAGTATATCTCAATTTCCATCTATTTAGAAATAAATTGGACAGATAATGCTTCCTTGCAGCGTACAGTGTGAAGGTGTCCAATGATGGTTGGCTTCTTTCTGGCTGGTGTGTTGTAGCATATTAATTTTGTCTCAGAAAAATCTTTGATATTTGTAGTTGTTTATATATTTTTAAACTATATTCCTATGACTTGGAACTTAGTTGGTGATTGGCTAGGTTGAGTCACATATGCTTACAGTTTTAGCTCCACGTGTATGTCTATTCTTCTGCCACAAACATCAAGCAATTTGGGGTTTTTTGTTTTTGTTTTGGTCTTATGGGCACCTGATATTACTTCATATGCCAACACCATGGTAATGTGTGTCGTTTCATCTCCTGGCGTTTCTTTCTCTGTTTTTAATTTTCTCCCAAATGTTTTTATAATTTTAACATCTAATTTGAAAAACCACAACAATTAAGTGACCTATGGAAAATGCTAGATTAGCATAGATTAGGTATATGCATGCAAATTTTAGCACCAGGATTTAAGAAGCAGTCCACAAGCACATTCTGCAAAAACAAAGGAAGTAAGTTCGAGCACAACAACACTTCATTTCTCTCTGGCAAACTGTAAAGCTGTAAGTGTCCAGTACTATTTGATTTAATAGCCACACCTAATAAATTGAGGTATATGGATAGCCAGGTATTATTATTATTATTATTATTTGTTCATCTGGTTCCAGTGGACATACTGGGCATGTCCCACTACAGATGTAGGCTGAATGTCTGAACATACTTACACAGGAGAAAGCCATTCCTAAATTTAAGGGGGGTTATTTCTGAGCAGACATGAGCATGACCATAGTGTGAAAACAAATTTGCCATCTTCCCTGGACTCCTGGGAATGGAAATTTGGTGCTAAGTAGGGAAGCTTAGCAAGTAAATCATTTGAAGCTTTGCATCAAAAATATAGTTTTATTGACCTTGGTTATAAGGAAAGCACTCAAAGCAAATACTGATTTGTGTACATTTTCTGTATACGTCTTCTGAATGTGCTTGATCATCATATATATAGTTTATACCATCCAGATATTATGCATACATTTTAGACCAGGAACTTGCAGGCAACATATTCTTTCTGTCAGTACAACTGATAGTGTGAAACCAGATAAAAGGTTTTAAGAACAATATAGAAGTAGGAGCATTATTATTAGTTATGGAGTGCCACATGCTACTTAGTCTTTATTAAATACTGTACATTTTTAGAAAGAAGACATTCAGTTCATTGGAATAATCTGGTGACAGGGGAGAGACATCACAATAATTAGAGAAACCCCTCCTTGCCTGTTTTATTATTGTGCAAGAATGAAAATCACACAAAATGTTTTCTTACATGTAAAATGGCTAAATATTTTCTGTTGCTGTCAGTGAGAATTTTTCCCTTTGTGAGAACTATGTTTTGTTTTTGCAAATACGGTGAAAAACTATAAAATTTGCTGCCTTGCTGCATGGACTCTTAAAAATGAGACACACACAGAAAGGGTTGTTTGCATCTTTTTTTTTTGATTGGTCAGCCAGCCCTTTGCTAGCTTGGGATGTGTGCATGTGTGTTCTTTCCTTCAGAAAGGAAAAAGACACTAGTTTTGTATACACAAGACTCCAAATATTGAGGAAACCTCAACAAAAAAAGGCCAACTTGTCTTATTCTTATATTAGAGGTGAAGAATCTCATAGAATCAGTTCCTTAAATACTGTCTCAGAATGAATGAATAATCTTGTGACAATTCTTTACATCCCTAGATTAGAGGTGTTGATCAATTGAAACAAGTGCTGCCGATAGTATTTGCGGGCTTGGAATTTATCTTAATCATTGTCAAGTACTGCTTCTGCACACTACGTTATGGATATGTATGGCTTTTAGCATTAATAACACAGTGTAAAGATGTTAAAATGGAAACTGGAATTGCTTAGGAAGAAATTCATTTCAGATTATTTTTATCAGAATTTATCAAAAGCTGGGGGGGAAAGGAGGAAAGAATATTCATTCATTCATTCATTCATTCATTCATTCATTCATTCATTCATTCATTCATTCATTCATTTATTTATTTATTTATTTATTTATTTATTTGGCTTTTACCCCACCCATCTAGATTCAAAATGAATTTACTCTGGGTGGCTTACAGTCTGAGCAATGTAAAACCAAGAATTAAAACAGAGAATATCAGAACAAAAGAGAGATGAGCAGAGTCCAAGATGGGAAAAAGCAAAGAGCTAAGTGATGAAAGGGGAGGAATGCCTGCCTGAAGAACCAAGTCTTCAGCTTGTTCTTGAAAACTCCCAGCGAGGGTGCCAGGCGAATCTCAGGGGGTAAGATGTTCCAAAGGTGAGGGGCCACTGCTGACAAGGCCTGGTTTCTAGTTCTCTCCTTCCGGGCCACTCTCGGGGTCAAGCCCCTCAGCCGCCCAGCCTGACTAGATTGAGTGACACAAGTACAGCTAGGTGGGAGCAGGTGCTCTGCCAGGTAGCAAGGTCCTAAACCATTTAGGGCTTTATATGTAAACCCTAAAACCTTGAAGTCAATGCAGAAACGAATGGGCAACCAGTGTAAGGCGCTAGAAGGGGGGAAATGTGATGCTATTTTTTCACTCTGGTTAATAATCTGGCAGCCATGTTCTGGGCCATTTGTAGTTTCCACATCAGTCTCAAGGGCAGCCCGACGTAGTGCACATTACAGTAGTCTAATCATGAGACTACGAGTGCATGGACCAGAGTGGTGAACACCCCAACATCAAGATAAGAGTGCAGGTGGGCAATCTGCCGAAGATGTAGCTGGGCATTGCGAACCACAGACACTACCAGGGATTCCATGGTAAGCGCTGGGTCAAAATGGACCCCCAAGCTGTGGACCATACTCTTTGTGCTGAGAGTCCCCCCCCAAAAAAGAGAGGGGACTTTCCAAATGACTGATAGGAAGGACCGAAGCCAGGCAAGAACCAGGCCACCAATCCCCAACTCGGAAAGCCATCCCAGGAGGATACCGTGGTCGGCAGTATCAAAGGCAGCTGAGATATCAAGGAGAACCAACAAGGACATTTTGCCCCTATTGGCCTCCCTCGGTAGGTTATTAAGCAGGGCGACCAATGCCGTTTCCATTTTTAAAAGCTGTATGCTATTTAATAAGTCACAATATGACATAGAAGAGGGATGGAATGAACTGAGCCATTGCTTCATTCTTAAACATATGTTTTCCTGTTATGTTTTCCTGTTAGAGAATGTATATTCATTTAGAGTCATTTAGAATACCTGTCTGTCACTTACTGGGATCAGCAAAAGTTGTTTGTTCATGCCTTAATCATCTGCAGCATAAAATGAATGTTGGCAATAGAGTCCCATTAAAGTATTGGTAGGATGCACAGTGGGGATTAATAATAATAATAATTGTGTGCTGTCAGGTAAATTCAAACTTATGGTGACTTTTTTTTGCACGGTTTTCTAGGTAAAGACTAGTCAGAAGTGGTTTACCCTTCCCTTTTTCTGAGGGTGTCCTGGGACTCTGCAACTTGTTCAAGGCCACACAGTTTGGTTCTTCTGGGAATGCACAGTGGGGAACTGAACCTCCAACTTCTTGCTTTTCAGCCGGATGCCTAACACACCAGCTATCAAGCCAGCTATTGCAATAGGGATTACCAGGCTTAACTTGTCAGATTAAATTAAGTGAAAGATAATTTTCTTTTCTGGATTAAACATGGCTGTGGGGGTTTACACATTTCTAAGAAAATGCCCTTTGTGTTTCCTTTATGCCTCTTGTGTTTCTAATAAAAATTGTGGCTTTATTCTATTTCTTTTCTTTGAACAAGAGAAAAGAGTTCTTATGGTGATAATTAAGCCTTCAATTTGACATAAAATCCATATTTGTGCTGCTTTGTAAGGGTTACTTTTTGTCTTCCCACAGATGCATATTGATTGTGAAGAAAATTTCAGCATGCATTGTTGTAAGTGGCTCTCCTTTGCTCTGTCCCTGGCTCAGTTTGGGACATGTTTTTCCTGTACACCCAACTGTGATGCTGAGGACTGGGACCAAAGTTTTCTGAGACCACAAAGAATGAAACACGCTGGCATTCGAAGCTTGCTGGTTGTGCATGAGGATCAGCTATTAACACAACCTTTGGAGTCAAGCCAGGTACTGAATTTTTTCTGTGGGAGGTTTAGCAGGGAACTGAGGTGTTGATTAGCATCTGGCAGCTTTGCTAAGCTTTCTTTAGCAAGAGAACAATCTCCCTGGAGTCCTGCAACTGTTCTGATACAAAAACATGCTAGAAATGACACAAGCACCATATTTGCCCTTCCTTCCTGTAATGTATCCCCGTTACTTCTAAAATCACTGAATCTCAAGCAGATCTGACACGAGGTCTGCTTAAATCCAGGCAGCACTCTACAGAAGCTAGATCTTGTCAGGAAGCCATGACAGATTGGTTGTTGTGGGGTTTTTTGGGCTCTTTGGCCATGTTCTGAAGGTTGCTCTTCCATGACAGATTCTTATAAGCCACTGAATGCTTGCTTGATTTAAAATGAATGTAATCAAACTACATTCTGAGGAAGTTCTTTTCTGCATTTTTCTGGGTCCCAAAGATTGGTAAGACCCTATTTATATGACTCCAGATCAATCTGTAAGGATGGAGTACCCTGTCTTAGGGGTGTAAAGTAACATATAGGAGGGCTGTGAACCAGGAATGTTTATCTCCTGATTAAACATAATATCAAGCACTGTATTGATAAAAAAGCCTGTGTTGCTTTCTCTCTTTTGAGGCAAAACAAAGGGCAGCTTTATCAATATCTGGCAATTTAAAGCTTTTCTTTCTTTCTTTCTTTCTTTCTTTCTTTCTTTCTTTCTTTCTTTCTTTCTTTCTTTCTTTCTTTCTTTCTTTCTTTCTTTCTTTCTTTCTTTCTTTCTTTCT